ATTATTTTTTATTATTTCAAAGATATTTTAATAAAATTGTAAACTATCAATAATTTAAATAATTCAATGATAATATCTTTCTCTATTGAAAATAAGAAATTATAAGTTTAAATCACATAATATATAAGTAATATAGAATAAAGGATGAAAGAGGATTAATTTTTTTATCGTTGTGCAATCAAAATAAAAAAAATAAATTTATAAATTAAACTATATTTTTAGAATATAGTTTAAAATATTAGTTGGATAAAAAAATAAATGCATTTAAATAGCAAAACAAGATATTCTTAAAAATATTCATTTCATCCGTACCAAAAAATAATACACTATGCATTTGACCTTTCAAAATTATGAAAAATTTGCATTTAGCTAATGCCATTTGAAGAATATGCATTTAATGGCCTATCAAATGTTACCATAGGTGAAATATCCGCAACAAAGTTGTCGTAGGTGAAATGTTAAAAACATTTGGACTCCAAGTGCATATTTTCCAAACCATAAGAGTCAAGAGAATATATTTTCACATTTGGGCATTAAGTACAGTGCTCCCACCCAAACCAGTGCAATTTGCATTATTTGTGATTTCTAACGCAAGATGCAAATACATAAACAGAAGCATGCAGATGGGATCTAGATACATTGTTGGACTTGGAATAATAGCCTTTTTCTGGCAAAGTTGTTCTTCCTGTTCCTGGGAGGAATATTAAGTATTGATTACAGCTACAGGTGTTTTGAAATATTTATATATATGAACAATGCATGGAGCAGAGATCATTTCTCCCTTTTCTTTGATGGACTTAAAAGAGGCTTCATACTGCCGAGGATGAGCTATTGAACTGGATGGAACCCATGATAATAATATACAAGGAAACTACTGTGGAACTGATGTAGCGTCGGGATCTTGATGAAAATGAGAGGAATAGTCACCCTCAGGAGAAGCAAATCCTTGTTGACAATGGATGGATGGATACTGTTGTCTATTTCCTTTTGCCAGTACCAATTGTCAGCAGCTCAAAACTACGAAGAGAGTCGTCACGACCACCCCTTGTAGGTATGATACGAGAGAAGGATGATGATTTGGACTCCAGTGCAGGTTGAGTCCGTTGAGTTGTTGACAGGCGACCACTGCTTGAGAACAGTCTGCTCGATCGGTTCTCACTAGGCTCTCCAGAGGAGCCAGGATGGCTGCTTGATACGACAGCTCGCTTTGAAGTACTGCCATTTCGTGATGAAGAATGAGCCCTTTCAGAATCAGGTTGCTGGTGGAGTAAAAGAAAAATATAAATCAGTCACTTACAGGGCAAATTTGGAAGAGTTTTGAACTAGACAATAGTTCAACATAAATCAGTGCACTAGAGTAAAAACACAAACCAAAACTCACATCCTTGGATGATGGCATGCCATTTGATGATCTGTGCTTCAAGGGATCAAAATGCAAACCATGGCTGGAGCCATTTCGTCTAGCAAATGCCTCCACAGCACCAGAAAACCTATCTCGAATTTCTTGGCCCACTACAGGATATAATGATAATTGTTAGAAATTATGAGATAGAAGAAATGGCAGAAAGAGTTATTAAGTCCCAGAGCCTCAATAACAGTATTAGGGAAAACATATACGAGGAAAATTGTCAAAAATATGTTTCAGACAGAGGCTTTGAAAAGAAATATACCTGAGGGCCTTTCTACTCTTTCAGCAGATGGTCCAGCAGGATTCAAAGCCGGTTTAACACTCACCTGTTTAAGAATCATTCACAGAGAAGTCAATGTTTTGTATCAATACAACTGCCAACGAATTAAAGGTTACTGACCCGTGCTCTTGAGCTGGAGCTGATCTGTGGATACTTCAGTATAGTCCAATCAAAAACATGGTCAAATTGATAGCCTGCATGAATTGATATTCAGTCAAACCTCATACTAAATAACTTGGAAAAATGTAGAAGCTGAACATGTGATGGTCAATTGAGTTCTATTAAGTCTATATTGAAACATGAAGAGAAAACGAAATGACATTTTTCCAATGGTACTTTAGATTATAAGATAACCTTCTCTGATAAAAAGGTCTCTAAAGAGCCTCTTCAGGTAAGAATAATCTGGTTTGTCCTCGAACCGCAATGATCGGCAATAGTGAAAGTATGATGTAAATTCTGATGGATGTGACTTGCAAAGAACCTGCAAAACAACATATGCATAAAGTCTTAAGCAGAAAACAGAGTTAAAGGATTGAAATCCTGATCATAAAAACCAGAATTTATCCAACTGTTGTCTTTAAATATTTTTAAAAGAGCAAAGTTCCTGGGCAGGCATCTGATGCTTGAAGAAAGACATGATGGTACCTCTATGGGAGTAAGCATTTTCTTTTCACTAATCTTGTCATATTTCTGCTTTTTGGTGCCTGCTTTCAACCCCTGCCAGGGAAGGCTGATTCGTATAACAAAGATTAGATTATATGAGGGTTAGTGTTAACAGGTTATAATAGCAAGCAGCTAAGTTATATGTGCAACCAACCTTCCCCTCAGAAAGTACATAAGCACATAACCAAGGGATTCCAGATCATCTCTTCTGCTTTGCTCTGCATGTTTTTCCAGACAACAGTTTGATCAAATATGAAACCATAAAAATCTGAATAACAGTGTGAAATAAAATCCATACTAAATATTAGATGCAAGAGACTCACCAACTCCGAGGTGGGTGTTAACACTTGCATAACGAGCTGTTCCTGTGAGATTCTTGTTTTCTCTGTTAGAGAAAAAAAATTAATGATTTTTCATGAAAAACAGTGAAATGGTCCTATAGACCAAAAAATTTCGGCTCTCTAAGCTAGCAATTGTACAAAGGAACAGATACCGGAACAGATAGGTCATTGCTAAAGATGTCAAATGAAACACCAAACTATAAGCCTATAATATTCTCTTGAAGGAGACCTTAAGTTTTCCCTTCCACTTTGGCTGGATATCTTTCAAAGGTTGGAACATAAATTGATAATATTCAGGCTCTAGACTGTACATTTTTAAGCATGAGAAACCAAGCATGCAACTAATGTCAAAAGGGTGCTACTACAGAGTCCAGGTTAAAAATCATGCATCAGGGCAAAGATAGATAATTAGGAAGAAATCAGTAGCCGTAAAACCTGAAGTTATCTTTAACACAGTTCTCATGTCTAAATCTGTTTATAGTTTTTACCAGGAAGTTAATTGTCAAACTAGTGCCCAGTACAGTGGCGGTAACTCATGCAAAAAATTTTGCAGAGAACTACAAGCTATGCCTTGCCATGATAATTCATGCTCAAATTTTCACCCATGTAAGATTTACGTTTATTCAAATTAGGATGGTGGGGTTGGCCAACAAAAAACAAAAAAACACTGGGATGATGCGAATGCAAGGTTCCATAAAAGCAAATTCTGAGAATAGAACCAGAGAATGATATTACCTGTATGGTATATGCTTGTGTGTTTGAAGATCTCTATACTTTTTTGCCAGGCCATAATCAATGACGTATACCTGAGATATATAAGGGCAAAACAAGGAATTAAGCACCAAAGCATGGATATATCTTGAGTGTCTAGAGATTTTAAAGACCATGATGTAATGTATAACATACAATAAACAATCATGGCTTTTAGATTTTTTTTTTTTATTTAACATATAAACTACCAATGTTGTGAAAGAACTACTTAATGCAAAATAATTTGCTCAGAACAAAAGGCTAACCATGTCTTTAAAAAAATAGAAGAAAAATCTTAGCTTTGTTCCAACTAACCTCAAACCAAATAAAATGCTCAGACACCATTGCAAACATCATCTATACAATCAATTGCTTCAAACTATAAATATTTGAAAAGATTTTCATGCAACTAATATTGACACTTCCATTCAATGATTAATTACCAAATGTATACAGCTTTAAAGAAGGGTAATGCATGAGCCTATCTAATTTGGATCCTTGTTCATAAAGGTCACCCAAAAATAATTGGGTAGGATAGCAGTAAAGCTAAAACATGCAAATTACCATATATGTTTAGCCTATGCCAAATTCCTCCCATTATCAACTATAAATTTGCATTTTCTACAGAACTATTGTGTGCAATCACTTTACAGCACATCCCAGCACAACAACAATTATGAGTTTTTATTTGTGCACCAATGGTTACCGCATATTCTAGACAGATCACAGTTAAAATTACATTAGAATTTCCAAATCCCAATTTTCAAAATGAAAGCACATTAAGAATTGAAAGAAGCAGGGAAGAAACTGAAAACAGCAATGCAAATGCTAAAAGAGTAAGCCAGAAAAGGCATGTTAAGCACTCAATAAACAGTGAAGGCACAAATATCAAGGGGCATTGAATGAAAGACCATGCCTGATTTGCTTTGCGCCCTAAACCCATGAGAAAGTTATCGGGCTTTATATCACGGTGAAGAAACCCCCGCGAATGCATATACTCTACTCTGCTTATCTAGAGAAGAAAATTAGATGGTAAAAAAAAAAATTAGTAAGGCCACAACTTGATCATGATAAAAGTTCTCTCAGAGTGTTAGCCTACTTACTAACTGATCCGCAAGCATCAAAACTGTTTTCAAGGAAAATTTCCGACTGCAGTAATTGAACAAATCTTCTAGGCTTGGTCCAAGAAGGTCAATGACCATCGCATTGTAATCACCCTCAACTCCAAACCATTTAAGATGGGGAATGCCACCTGTGCAGATAACAAGAAATCAAAAAATAGGTATGAAACAACATACATGGACTGCAGCTTGAGGAAAAAAAAAAAAAAAACAAAAAACAAAAAACAAAAGACTCGAAGCTTACTCCCTCCTTGAAGAAGCATATACAGTTTTGACTCATAGTGAAGCTGTGGGTGCTTGGTCTTCACAGATTCCTAGTAGAACGAGTGAACAAGAGGAATAAAGTTAATAACATTACATAATGGTTCAAGCATTACCAACATCAATAGATACAAAAAATACTCAGTCAACAAGTATGATCTACATTCTAAACTTTGATTTAGGTTTTAAAATTAGGTAGTCCACAATCAACGGCCAAACCCATGATTGTTCCCACAAAACCAAAATTTGTAGTGATCTCAAAGTAGGCCATGAGATACTAGAGCCATTTTCCTTAAACAAACAGAAACCCATCTTTTCCTACACGTTAAATGATCATCCAGTACAATCCAAATAAAAGCAAAATTAACCCAGAGGAGATAAGCAGGAAAAGGAAAGGAAAATCCTGCTTACCAGCTTGACAGCCACTTCCTCTCCATTTTGTATACTCACCCCTGAAACAAAACAATAATAAACCCAATTCTCTGTTAGCCCTAACACATAAAACCAACTAAAATTACTAGAACTAACAACACCACTAACAAAATACCTAAATAAAGTTCACCAAACGATCCACTGCCGATCTTACGTCCCAGCCTGTACTTCCCACCGACGACACGCTCCATGATCTAACCTTAATCGTTGATAATCCCAGCAATTGCCGCCGCCTTTCCCTTGATCGATATCGGAACACAAACTACCCAAAAATTCTTCTCCCCAACATTACTCTCAGATCCATGGAAGGTAAACCCAGTTACTCCATGACTAAACAATCAAGCTCAAATACAACAAACCCCATAAAAAATCGGGAACAAGTAAGGAAATTGAAGGTAACCCTACACCATACTGACTGAAATTAAGCAAGACCCATTAATCAGCAAATCAAAACGATGATTTGGGAATCATGAAGCTGCATTTTCTCAGAGAAAGTTAGGTGGAAAAAAGTAGGGAGAAAAAGTTGGTTCTTAAGAGGGGAAATGAAATCGCAGAGGTATAATGAAAAAGGTGGTTGTATTTTTACTGGGAAACAATCAAATAAGGAAAGAATCTACAGGCAGCATATGCATCGGGAAATTATTCGTGGGGTTTCCGTCGGATCTTGGTTTAGGACAAGAATTTGAGTTTCCCGGAAAATTTATGGGGTAGGAAGGATAGGAATGATTTTGGAAGGAAGAGAAAAGAATGTAGTGGGAGTGAAGGGAAAATGGATGATTGAGGTAGGGAATGCTTTAAAGGTCGATTTTTTCTTTAAATTAAAAAAGGTAGGATGATATGCTGGGATTATATGTGGATTTTTTAACAGGAAAATAGTTTATCAAGGAAATTAAGTATTTTCGTAGTAAATTTTTTTATTAAAAATTTAAGTTTATATGACATAATATAAAAATAAAATGAAATAAGAGATAAAAAAATTATTTTTTATTATATAATTAATATAAAAAAAATAGTTTACAGTTTAATTATTTTTATTAATAATTACAAGATGAAAATATTATTTTATAATATAATTATATTAAATTATAAAATATAATAAATT